AAGCATTCAAATAATGCATCTCATAATCTTGGACTGTAGTTATATCTGATCAAATGTGCATTATTATTCTTTAGCTTGGGTTAAACAAATACATTTTACTTGGTTGGAACAGCAGCTACGCTAATTATGAATCTATTTGTTTCTCTGTTTCTGCTGAGATTGACAGCAGAACCCGTGGTTACTAGGATTTACACAAGCATCAGTGCCAGAACACCTGAGAAGAGATGATGCCAACTAGAGGCCGACCGATATGGGTTTTTTGGGGCCGATACCGATATTAGGGGGTAAAAAAGGCCGATATTCTTTGTGTATATTATAGTACAGTACCAGTCAAAAGTTTGGACACTTTCCCATTCGAGGGTTCAAACATTTGACTGGTACTATATATAGAATACAGTATATACATAAGCAGAATATATATATATATAAACACATTTTTTGCATTGATCACTCAAATGTGGTGATCAAACACGTATAATTATGTGACAGAGATACGTAATGGAGGCAGGGCATTTAACAATTTAACAATAAACTTTATTATCCAAAATGAGTGACATCAGTGCATTGAACAGTAAAGTTGAAGTTTATTCAACTTCAATTCAATTCCATTCAACTTTATTCCTTTTAAGTTTTTTTCACTTCGGAACATTCATTCACGGATTTGCGCTACTGTCTTCACACACAGACGAAACTTACTAGAGAAGTGTGAAGTGTGACATAATATACCTCTGTAAATAAATACAATATAAATTCACGTCTCGCGCAGTTTAATGCCCTTTGAATGTAACGTGTACGTTCCCTTGGAACTGGAATCATGGCAGAATATCATGTGAAGTCCACTTCGCAGGGCACTTACGGTCGAATAAAACAACGCTTGAATGCTGCCGCCTGATCAAGAGACCTCCTTACTGAAGTGAAAGTGTTGGCTGGTGTCAATATCTTGCGAACGCGCCGGCGAATCGCCACCAAATTCGGGGGATCCCTTCAGCTCGAGGAGCCCTCTCGAACGCCACCCTCCGATTGTCGGTAGCCCCCCTACTATCGACGTGGGGGTGGTCTCATTCGAAAGCGGGCCTCTAGACGTACACTCGATTTGCGTTCGAGAGGGTTCCTCGAGCTGAAGGGATCTCCCGAATTTGGTGCGGATTCGCTGCGCCGTTATGGAGATATGGCCATTCAAAATTTCAATGTTTTTCCATAGACTTAAGCTTTAAAGCATTTCATCGAGGTTGCCAGTAACAAAAAAATGGAGCGCGCTCTGCTGGACAAACTAAGTAATTACACCATTTCAAGCATTTTATCTGCGTTATATGTTCTGTAAAAAAATCGGCGGCATATCGGCAGCATATTCGTCGATACCGATATATCGCCAACAGGCTCATATCGGCCGATAATATCGGCAAAACGATATATCGGTCGGGCTCTAATGCCAACCCCTCAGAGGACCTCAGATGATGCCAACCCTGAAACAACATACAGAACTACCACATTTTGCTATAAGTTTGATTGCATCATATTATAATTGCTGTTAATAGTGTTCATGATCTGTTTTATTACGTCTTTAATTGATTTTTCCGTACATTTCTGCCATATGTACATTAACTGAGTCACCACTGATAAGCTACCACTAAATATTGTAGAAACTTAATTTGCTGTAAAGTTTCTTTGCAATGATTTGTATCGTAAAAAGCACTATACAAATAAACTTGAATGGAAAATGTAATACTATTATTTTAATTTTATTTATATATTTTTTTAATTTTAGTTATAGTAGCACATTTTTCTGGTGATTCCTATTAATTATAATTGTCATTTTAATTTATAGATTTGCATGGAGATTTTTTTTTTCTTCCTCCATATTGGTAACATATCCCTTGAAAAATACACAAAAACTCTCTCGTGAAACTCAACAGAGAAAGAACAAATGCATTTGGAGAGAAAATGAAGACTCTTCTGGACAAGCTGGATGAAATTTTACTCTTAAAAATGATTTAATGTACTCTGTATACTTCAGTATTAATTTTTTTTTTGTATATTTGGTTTAAAGGGGTCCTATTATGCTTTTTCACTTTTTCAACTTTAGTTAGTCTGTAATAATGCTGTTTGAGCATAAAAAAGATCTGCAAAGTTACAAAGCTCAAAGTCCACTTCAAAATTAGATATTTTATTTAACAGAAGTCACTTTTCAAAAACTACAACGAACGACTTGTTTGGACTACAACGCATATTTTCCGGGATTTGTGATATCACAAATATCGACGAATGGGACGAGACCTGGTTGAGCTGCACTAGAGAAGGCAACGAGTGTTATCACTATGTCGCAGACACACTAGCTTTCCCAAGGCAGACGAACTTAGAGTGGTTACAATCATCTGGGTTTAAATCGCGCTCAAATTGATTCGATTTTGATGCAATATTTACACTGAAGCTTGCAGTGGTAAGCGCCATGACATTTCCTGACCAGGCACCGAGTGGTGCCAATCACAACAC